GTGCCGCGAATGGCTGCCATGTGGAAATTGCTTAACTTTTATAGTGGTATCAAAAACTCTTTTTGAGTTGCACTTTATGAATATGTAATAATATTTATCGTCATTTTTCATGTTCATACATTATAAGGTAAGAAATTCCCGACAATAATTTGTGGACACCCTGTGCAAGATATACAGGGTTTCCACTAAAGTCCCTTATTACCACCCTTTTAACTACCGAATGGCTGCAGCTATCTCCATAACAGTGGTGTCCAGGCATGGTACTTGAACTTGAACCTGAAATTTTGTAAGGTTTGAGACTTATACATGCCATGGCTTTCGTCTCCTAGTATCCAATAGAGTCAAAAACAGTTCAAGGAAAAAGGTTAGAATAATCTTTCTTCAATTGAAACGAGCGAAAGGCTTGATTTGACTTGAAATAAAGAAAGTTTTGAGACTAAAAGCTGTCAGAGCTTACGTCTCCGAGTAACCAAAGGAGTCAAAAACAGAACAAGGAGGAAAAAATCAGCAAATGTCGAAAAATTTCAGCAGTGAAAAGAGCCCTATTAGCACAAGATATTGAACGATATCCTCACGATGTTATTCGATATTCTGAATACCACATCGTGCGGATATCGTAGCAATATTGTACAGCATCTTGTGCTAATAGGGAGTGCACGAATGGCATGCTGAGAGGAGCAGATAATTGAGATGAAGGATTTAAACGTAGAGATTCCATCGAGATTAATATGGAGGCGGTGACAGAGTGATTGTCTAGGCATGGCAAAGAGACTATGCGTTACTGGATGAAACCACTTACGGCACCACCTGGTGGAAAAGGTGGTGTCAGCGTTATTATCTCTACAACGGTACGAGATAGAGGGAAAAAATGAATTACAAAGTTATAGAGCATTATCGATTTAGTACAAAAACACACCTTATGATCATGAATGCTGAAAACAGAGCGTTTAAAATGCACATTTGTTTGTTTTCAGCTCCGGAACGTATGGTTCCAACACGACGGTGGGCCTGCGCACAAAACATCATCAGTGAAGCAAGTACCTGGTGGAGGAGCAGTACTAAGAGTGGCCTCCACGTTCACCTAATCTGACTCTAATGGAATTTTTTCTGTGGGGATACCTGAAACAACATGCGTATGCGACCGCTCCGCCAACACTGCAGGACCTTCAACGACGCATTACGGATGCTTGTGCCAACATGACACGCGCTATGCTACACCGTGTGCAACGTGAAGTTCAAGCAAGGTTCAAGATGTGCATTGTAGCTGATGGGGAGAAGTTTGAACATCGAAAATAAAGGTATCTTGTGATAATTAGTTGTTTTTTTCTTTCTAAGAATGTTTTGTCACGTGTCAGTGTAGGAAATCGCGAACGAACAAATAAGTGTTTTAAGCGTTCTGTTCTAAGCATCTACGTCCACGAGGTGTCTTTTTGTACTAAATCAATAATGCTCTACAACTTTGTAGTTCACTTTTTTCCTCTATCTCGTACCGTTGTGGAGATAATAACGCTAACTCCACCGTTTTCCACCAGGTGGCGCTGTAAGTGGTTTCATCCAGTAGCGCATAGTCACTTTATTATACCTAGACACCACTCTTATGAAGATAGCTGCAGCCATTCGGTAGTTAAAAGGGTGCTAAGGGACTTTAGTGGTCGCCATGTATAACGTTTGAATGAATCCGTGAATGTTATTGAATACTGCGAAAGTTTTTACTACTTTCAAAGTACACAAAATGAAAATATTGTAATTTCGAAATATTCGACCTCTAGATTTTGATGAATCTCTGCGCTTTAGGCTTTCATGAGTCCAAAAAACCATTTTTGAAATTATATTTGCCAGCCTGCCTGTCTCTCTGTCTGTGAACGTCATAACTTAAAAACACTGAAAAATCTGAAGTTCAACATGAACGGATGAAATTTGATATGTAGTTTCCACACCAAAGTTTGCAGATTTCTATCAAATTTTCGCGTCGGTTGCCTGGTTGTACGATCTCGACCTCGGGCCGAAGGACTTCAAGTTTGAAACCCGATTTCAAGGAAGATCTGCGGTGTTTGAGGGCCTGATGCACATTAAATCATATGTAGCCGCTCAAACGTGCTCTCGCTGGTGTAATGCGAATGTTTGAAGAGGAGGTGCTAGCCCAGATGACCACGGTTCAAAATTACGAGTTCCACCCCAAAATAGCCTTCGTGTTATTGGAAAACGGAACATTAATATAACTAAACTAATCTTCTATCAAATTTTGAACGAATCCACCAGCAATAAATCTGTGTGTTCACCCTTCCATGTCCACATGGACATTATAACTCAAAAACGTGAATCCCTCGATGTATGAAATTTAACAAGTATTTTTATCATTAGAATTGTATACCTATATCAAATTTGGACCAATTCCGTCAACTTGTGATTGTCTGTTGGAATTACGATTCATATGGGTACGAACGCCATAGCACAAGAATTCAAATACACCCTGGTGAATTAATGAAATTTGGTTTGTGGTCTTGACACCAAAATCGTAGAAACCTGTAAAGTTTTTCACCTAGTAGGTCAAATTAAAAAAATACAAAATGCATTCTCGACTTGTG